ATGACAATTCTCAAGAAGTGAAGGAATGTCCAGATACAACCAACACTTGCAGAGTGGGCTGCGCTGCACTGAGGGCTCTGCTGGAATGACTCACGGGGGCTCCAAAAGCTAAGGTCCACACTTTCTCCCAGATCAAAGCTAGAGTGCAAACGTTCTTAACTGTCAGGAGGTGCTGAGTAATTGTTTTTTCCCCTGTAAAGGGATGGTAGCCCAATTAAATTGGGGAACCTATGATGTAACCCAGCGATTGCACTCCTAAGAATATAAACAAAACAATTAAAAAGTTATGTAGACAAAAGAAATTTTAAAAATTATACGGAAGTGATCATAATTGCCTTAGGTAATAACCACAAAATATAAATAACTTAAAGGTGTATAAATTGATGTAAAGTACACTCCTGAAATTATGCAGATTTATCAATCACCACAAAATATACAAAACTCTTTGCCTCTGGCCAATGATTCCAGAGGGACCTACTTATGTCAGTATGATTCTTGTTTATCCTAAGAGATTATCTTAAATTGCTACATATAGAAGCTGCATGCCTGGATTTCTTCTTGGCCCTGAATTGTTTCCTGTTTTCTCTGCTAGTTAAGCTTATGATGGAAGTTGAAAGGGGTGGGAAGAAGGAAGCAAACCTAAGCATTCAGAGGAAGATTCAAAAGAAAATGAGACAATCGGCTTCTGTAAACATCTCCTTAATTTCTAATTTACTGAGATTCAAAGGAGGAAATATCAAGCAGAGGAAGTAATTATGTATTCATTCTCCATGGCTGAAGTGAAGAAAGAACAAGATTTTGGAAGGCAGAGATTTTTTTTGAGAATATCATAGAAATGAGAGTCGTACTCTTTTCATCATATATCCTATCCTATAGATCTAAAAAAAAGGAATAAAAATATGGATACTGCATCACATCTGGATTCAATTGCAGGTTGAAATTTTTAGGAGATTGTCATCACATAAATTTTACCATGCATGGTTTTATAAGAAACGTTTTTGGAAGCCAGTGTCTGTATTTGTGAGTGTGTATGTGTTTTTCAATTCTGCTCTCCCCATGTTCTGCATTTAATTTACACAACCAAGATATTATTGAGAACTTAATTGTAAAAGTGATTGGCATACACGCTGCATTATAAAAATATCTGTGGGGTACTTTTGTATATGTGTGGAGCCCTGTACTTACCCCATAGAATCCCAACTCACATGATTGTCTTCATTTCCTTTGAGTCCCAACTACATTATTCATCTCTCCCCCTATGTATAAGCATGGCAGTGTAAGTTACTTATTTATAACTAATGATTTTTTCTTTTCATTCTTTAAAAGCTAAATCATATTTTTAAAATATCTACCTTAACCAAAGGTTTTTCACTATGTTAGCAATGTCTGGGGTTCAGTAAAGAAATTCAGAAAAAATTGGCTTAATGAGTGATAATAGGAGAGCTTAGATAAGTTAACATGATTCTGAAAAGCACGTGTTGGTATAGCTCTGCTTAAGTTATTATGAGTGCAGATTTTACTTATAAGGATATATTTAAGATATAAAGAAAGTAATGTTTTCAACAGCTGATTGCAGTAGTGCTGAAGGCCCTAGATTTGACAGAGTATGGGGAAAGTAAGGTTAGTGACCTATGGGTTCTTTACCACATACAATTGTTACTGAATTAAATTTCCCTTTCTTCTTTAACCTCCCTACCCTTTGTCACTTACTCATTCACTTTATCTTATGCCTTATCTAACTCTGTCAGATATGTGGGCAGCAAGATAAGAGGAATCTTCTCTACTCAGTGACTGGTATCTTGGACACACTTAGATCAATTCACCAATCCAGCTAAATAACTACTTTACATATGTTAGCATGAGGGAATCTGGGTTCCTTCACCCCACCCTTCCTCATAGAGGATTTTATTGTTAGTTTCACCTCCAAGTTTCAAAAACTATGAACTATTTAATTTGTATCACACAAGATAGCCGCAGCTCTCTCCTATAGATCAATCGATGGATTGGAACTACCAACCTTACAGCTAGCAATTCAATGCTTCCATAACAGCACCAGAAAGGCACCAGGAGCTCTTTCTAAGCACTATTAAGGGATTATGCTATTTTCTTTTCTGTTTTGTAACTGTCATGAGAAGAGTATCTTATCTATCCATTTCAGTTATAACGTTTCTTACACAGAAATAATAATTTTAGGAAATGAAGTACAAATATGTTTATAAAAGAAAATGTTCTATGATCGATGGATAGGTGAATGGTATGATTCCTATGATATGATATGATGTTTGCATTATGCATTATCTTTCTGTAAAATTTACATTTTCATGCAGTAATTCATACATTGCTGCTGGTTTTACTTATCCAATCTTTTCATACACACTACAGATTAAAAATTTGGATTGTTTCTCACAACAGAAAAGTAAAGATCCAACTGAACATGATTTTCATGTTTTGCAGGATCTGGATGTGATCACATTGTCATAACAAATTTACCTTCAAAGCCTCAGCAGTGCCGTCAGGAAGCTAAAGAAAGCAAAATATGCCACCCGTGAACATGTCCCGTCCCTCTTCTATGAGTTTTTTGCTACTGGGCATCCCAGGACTAGAGCACCTTCATGTCTGGATTGGGATTCCCTTCTGTTCCATGTATGTGGTGGCTGTGGTAGGAAATGTGACCATTCTGGCTGTAGTGAGGGCAGAGCGCAGCCTCCATGAACCCATGTTTCTTTTTCTGTGCATGTTGTCTATTACGGACCTGGTCCTCTCGACATCGACCTTACCCCGTATGCTTTGTCTCTTCTGGTTCGGAGCCCGTGATATTGCCTTTGATGCTTGCCTGACCCAGATGTTCTTTATCCACAGCTTTACTGCTATGGAATCGGGCTTCTTCCTGGCCATGGCCATTGACCGTTATGTGGCCATCTGTGATCCGTTGCACCATACTACCATTCTCACCCATTCTCGCATCATTGTAATAGGTATAATTGTGGTGATTCGTGGTGTAGCTTTCTTTACCCCACACCCTATTTTGCTCAAGCAACTACCCTACTGTAGATCACGAATCATTGCCCACACCTACTGTGAGTTCATGGCTGTGGCAAAGCTAGCATGTATGGACACAGGATCAACCAATCGTTATAGCCTCAGTGTGGCTTCCATAATTGGGTCATGTGATGCCATTCTCATTGCTGTATCCTATGCCTTCATCCTTCGCTCTGTATTCCGCTTGCCATCCAGAGAAGCCAGCTTTAAGGCTTTGGGCACATGTGGCTCTCATGTCTGTGTCATTCTAGTTTTCTATTCCACAGCTGGTTTCTCCATCTTCACTCACCGGTTTGGGAAAAATGTGCCTGCACACATTCATATTTTTATTGCAAATATGTACCTTTTGGTGCCCCCTTTCCTTAACCCCATTGTGTATGGAGTACGGACCAAGAAAATACGGGAAAATGTTTTTAGGGCTCTACAGTTTAAAGTAGCCTGATTTTAGTTGAATGAATATAAGAAATGGTTCAAGAACAATTCTGAATAAAAAGATGATGTAGGAGAAATAAATAATTGTTCTTAGTTCCTCAAAAATTGATATTAGCACCTGAAAGTGCTGTTAATGACCAAATTCATGTAATTTCTATATTTCCAAATGAATCTCTTCAGATATTTTATTTAGTGAATATTGGAACAGACATTGTTAATCTCTGCCTTGCTAAGTGTGTTTCAGAGGATAATTACAAATAATGTGTGCAAATAAGGGAAGAATGAGATTCTAATATAGTAGAAAACATGTAGGGTTCCCAAGAGAATGGTATGCTTGATGATATAGAATATGCAGTAGAAATAATTTTATCAGGTTATGTAATTGAGATTCTATTTCTCAAATGAAAACAAATTGAAGTCCTTTTATTTATCCAGATAATTATTTTCACCTTTGTTTGGGAATATTATCTAAATCCCTGGACTTTCTCTTTCTGACAACCATCCCAAAATGAAGATGTTCATATTTACACTCAAAAATGCCCTCAGTCCTTGCTTATTGATCCTAAGAACTCATGGCCAGAAGTCGTACATTAAAACAAACATTTCTACATTCACCAATTACCACGTCCATAACAACTATGGAGAGCGTAAAGTGTCCTATGTTGGAGAACTTAGCATAAATGGCCTGACCCCTTTAATAAAAGTAACTCAGGATCAATCAACAATTTTGAGGGGTATAGTAATGAGTTTATTTGAACATGGTAGGTTAAAAATTCATGAAAGATATTAAATTGTGTGCCCAATTGGACTTAGGACTCAGCTAAAGTACATATTAATATGGCATCAACATTTATGGAATAAGTAGTAGTGAAATCATGCAGGAAGCATCATTTGATTTTCTTCCTCCAGTACTTTCTAAAATAGATCACATGTCTCATTAACCCTTAGATAATTTATTTTTCTTCACTGCCTCCTTCCACTTTCACATTCCATTTTTTTTCTTGTTTTAACTTCTTTCCATTTGTTTTATGTACTTATTCTTATCACCTCTTCTGTCTACAAAATTATAAGTTTCATCGATAACAAATATTCTTTAATGGGAAGATTTGTGTTCTGCTGTATTAATAAGACAGTGTCTTTCCAAAGCATGTTTCTGGGTAGTTCTATAACTTAATGCCTTTGGAGTAAACTGCCAAGGTAAGAAATGTGAGACTATCCTTAGTCTTATGGCTACTTAATTTCAGATATGTTTAAAAAAAGAAAAAGAAAGCCTACTTCATGTGATTGTGTAAGAATTGGCCTCAATAAATGATGCCTGTCTTAAAAATAAAAGGCTATATAATTTTAATCATTTTATTGGGGGCTCATACAACTCTTATCACAATCCATACATACAATTGATGTATATCAATTGTGTCAAGCACATTTGTACATTTGTTGCCCTCATCTTCTCAAAAGATTTGCTCTCCACTTAAGCCCTTGGTATCAACTCCTCATTCTCCCACTTTCCTCCCTGCCCCCCCTCCCTTATGAACCATTGATAATTTCGAAATTATTATTATTTTGCCCTGTCTTACACTGTCCAACATCTCCCTTCACCCACTTTTCTGTTGTCCGTCCCCCAGAGAGGAGGTTATATGTAGATCCTTATAATTGGTTCCCCCTTTCTACCTCACTTTCCCTCTATCCTCCAGTATTGCCTCTCTCACCACTGGTCCTGCAGGGATCATCTCTCCTGGATTCCCTGTGTTTCCAGTTCCTATCTATCTGTATCTTTGTACATCCTCTGGTTTGGCCGGATTTGTAAGGTAGAATTGGGATCATGATAGTGGGGGGGGGGGGGGCGATAGGGGAAAGCATTTAAGAATTAGAGAAAAGTTGTGTGTTTCATTGTTGCCAGACTGCACCCTGACTGGCTCGTCTCCTCCCCGCGATCCTTCGGTAAGGGCATGTCCCATTACCTACAGATGCGCTTTGGGTGTCAACTCTGCACTCCCCCTCATTTATAATTGTGGTAGTCACCCAATCTGGTGTCAATTTAAGGATTAAGAGTTTAGGGGTGGAGTCTAGACTGTCAATCTGGAGATAGCCAATGTGACTTCTGTGTGGGCATGGTCTTCTCCTGAGAATACTGGGAGATCTGGTACTTCCTCCTTGGAGGGGAAAAATAACTCTCTCTCTTTGCTACTCCTTGAGAGATATTAGAGAAGACAAGACACATGGAAGCAACCAGACCTTGAAAGCCGGAGAAACCACAGAGAGACCCCTGCCAGCACTGAGATGCTTACAACGCCACTGGACTCAAAGACTTTCTACCCACCAGCTTGTGATCGTCTTGCATTTGGCTTCATTGAATGTGTTTTGTGAGTCTGAAGATAACTTTATAGATTGATATCAGACATATGGTCTACTATCAGACATATGGCCTTAGACTGGACTGGGTTGGGATGTTTCTCAATGTTCTATTGCTCTTGTATATATAAATCTCTTTCTTATACACATGTGCATGTCTATGAATTTGTTTCTCTAGTCTATCCAGACTAAAACAACAATGATATGAATTTTTTGTTCTTTGATGCCTGATTCCAGCACCCTTCTACACCTCGTGGTCACACAGGCTGGTGTGCTTCTTCCATGTGTGCTTTGTTGCTTCTGAGCTAGATGATTGCTTGTATACCTGGAAGCTTTTAAGACACCAGATGCTATATCTTTTGATAGTGGACACCATCAGCTTTCTTCATCACATTTGCTTATGCACACATTTGTCATCTGCGATCATGTTGGGAAGGTGTACATCATGGAATGCCAATTTAATAGAACAAAGTGTTCTTGGGTTGAGTACGTACTTGAGTGGAGGCCCAATGTCCATCAGCTGCCTTAATACTAAACCTGTAAATATATGCACGTAGATCTATCTCCCCATCATCCTACATAAATAAATTGACATATGTACATGCCTGTATTTAGACCTCTATAAATGCCCTTTGCATCCTAGTTCTTTCCTCTATTTATTTTTACAATCCTCTTGTCCCACTGTCATGCTCAGCCTTCATTTGGGTTTCAGTAATTTCTCTCCATTACATTGCCCTTGCTGAATCCATACCAGGCTTCTCACACCCTCCTTGCCACTAATTTTGAATCACTGGTTGCTCCCTTGTCCCTGGGTTTGTCAATACCACCTCCTTTCCCCCCACCTCCCCCTCTCCCATGTCACCCCAGAACCATCGGTCGTGTTGTAGTCTCCTCCAGACTGTTCATCCAGCCTATCTTATATAGATAGACCTGCAGAGATAATAATATGCACACAGAAAACACAAAGCATAGCAAGACTAAGTGACAAAAGAGAACACAACGATTACAACAAAGAAAACCAATGACCATAAATAAATAAATATGTATAAAGTTTTTAAAAATTAAAAAAAAGAAAAACCTGTAAATAGATCAAGGTCTGTTTTTTGACCTCTAGGAGTGTCCTCCCGTAGAGTTCAGTGGGGTGTCACGCTGTGGGCCCAAAGTCTATCCTTTGCACTCCCTTGGGAGATCCCTGCTCTGCTCTCTCCGCTGTTGTTGCCACACACCCTTAGTGTTTTGCCTTGGTGTGATGGGGTCAGACCAGGCCAATCCTGACACTGAGTCAATAGTATTGCCCCCGTAGGGCCATGGTTCAGCAAGGGATATTGTGTCTCATAGTGGGATGAGCCATATGGTCTTCTCTGTACATTGGCTGCTCTGAGCGGGGACATCATCCTCTAGGCTTGGTGGGCCCATACTGTGCTCTACTGTCTCTTCCTCCCCACTCATTTGCTCCTGTGTGCTCTCATCAGACATGTCACTCTCTCAGAGATGCAGCTTCAGTGCTGTCCTCTAAAGTAAAATCTTCTGGGGGGAGGAGCAGTTGTCCACCTCGCTGGGATTGGGGCCAGGTCCCCAGACCCCTCCATTGGCTCCCCTCTCCATGCTGGGATGCTGCATTCACATCCTGGAACACCGGATTTAAGTCTGGTTCCTCTTTCCCTGTGGAGATATAAACAATACCCTGCACTTGGGTAGGTTAGTGCCCTATTCCCCCACTACACATTCCTATCCTCACACACACACCCTTTTTTCCCTTTCTCCCAACCCCCCGCCTTCCTTTTTAGTTGGCTACCATAAGTACCACTAGGTTTGGTCTGGCCCCTGGACTTCACCCCAGGAATGTTTGTATACAGTAGCTTTTTCCCTGTGCCCCTTTTGCACTTCTTTTCTTTCTTTCTTTCTTTCTTTCTTTCTTTCTTTCTTTCTTTCTTTCTTTCTTTCTTTCTTTCTTTCTTTCTTTCTTTCTTTCTTTCATAAAATTACCTCAATGGACTCGTGTTGCACTTGTCCTTTTGCACTTGGCTTAGTTCACTTATCATAATTTCTTCAAGTTCATCCCATGCAGCAATGTGCTTCATGCATTCATCACTGCTTTTCAGCGATGCATAGCACTCCATTGTATGTATGTACCAGTTTTTTAATCCATTGTCTGTTGATGGAAATTCGGGTTGTTTCTATCTCCTTGCAATTGTGAACTGTGCCGTGATGAACATTGGAGTACATATGCCTGGCTGTGGTTTGTTTCTTGCCTTTTCTAAGTATATGCCAAGTAGGGGGGTTGCTACGTCATATTGCAGCTAAATTTCCATCTGTTTTAGAAATCGCCAAATCAATTTCCATAGTGGCTGTACATACCTACAGGTCCACCAGCAGTGGAGCAGAGTTCCTATCTCACCATAGCCCCTCCAACACTTGTTGCTTTCTGATTTTTTGATTTGGGCTATTTTTTAGGATGTTAGGTGGTATCTCATAGTTGTTTTAACTTACATTTCTTTTATGGCTAAAGATCGGGAACATTTTCTCATATGTTTATTGGCCATTCAGATTTCAGACTCTGTGAAACTTCTGTTCAGGTCCTTTGCCCATCTCTTCAGTGGACAGTTAGTTTTTCTCTTATTGTAAGCTTGCAAAGTATTGTAGATTTTAGTAATAAGG